CTCCCTGTATTATGAAAACAATCTAAGACTTGTATATGGTAGAAATGGTCAAAGCTAGCTAAAACTTTGCCTCCACTCGATATTTGCTAAGTACAATCATGTCCAATTTATAGCTCCCTTTCCGAGTTCCCAGTACTGTAGCACTACAGCTTCTACGAGTGCACTAGTCAGAGAGACAGCATGGAAGCTTGTTACCGTGTTAATCATCTGATCCGAAATAAAGGGAACCCGCTGCAAATAGAAATATTTTCCCTATTTTAAGGCTAACCTCTATAGTATTTTGCACTAGTAAAAATCAAAGTAACAAGCCATGTATTGTCTGTAGTTTACACAGTCACGATACTTTTAAATAAAACTTTTACCGGTTACGCGATATATTAATACTTCAACCTATGCTACTTATCACGTATGTTTAGTGGTAGTTAAAATAAATAAGTTTAAACGGTTTAAAACGCGAAATATATTGTTAAACTTATGTTAACTAAAGTACATAAACGTCGCGTCACAGTTGAATTCAATAAAATAAGTTTAATAAATATATTTTGGCGTTTCAAACGGTAAGTGTTTTACACAAGTCACGTGATTTTAATATGCCCTAGCTATATAACGTCTGATTAAGATTGTTCCTTTGGGCTTTGGGCATTTGGAAACATTATTTTATAAAGCCTTTCAAAGAAAATTTTAACCACTTTAAAACACTTTAACTGTTTAAAATGCGATATATTAGTTAAACTGATTTGAAAATGATTTTTAACTTCTACCCGACGTTTCGGATGCTTTGCAGCAGCCGTGGTCACGGGGAGACTTTTCAAAAAAGTTTAACTAATATATCGCGTTTTAAACCGTTAAATTGTTTTATTTAAATATATAGACTTATTTGTGAAGTTCTTGCCCGAGCAATAGTTCGTTATTAGTTAGCTCTTAAACTATTAGTTCGAGCAATGACTAGTGGTTTCGGTCAATTCGCAGTTGCGCTGACTCACGAACGGTGTATGACACGGCAAACACGTTCAGATAATTATCCGATGCGAAAGTGCTTACGCGTTATATTCGACGCTTTTCTTTAACAACTGCCCGTGGCCCGGTCGCTAATGATTTTATATCGTGTTACCATTCTTGTGATTGAATTTATTTTCCGTGTAATGCTACAGTAGGTACAATTATATTCTCTTTTTAGGTGTAACGTGTTAAGTGAAGTATATATTAATTTTTTACAGCTTTATTATTCATAATACATACCACAGAAAAAACGAGAGATAAAAACTTAGTACCTAACTTTTAAATAAAAGGCGGCCTTATCGCTAAACAGCGATCTCTATCAGGCAACCTGAAGTACAGGCTATATTTAGTATTATAGATACAATACTTAAATTAACATTTCTATTTCTTGTCTAAGCGATAACTTTAGTCGTAAGTAACATTTAAGATTATGTACCTAAAAACGACTATCGTCAAATTAATTTTCGCAGAGAGAAAAGCAAATATTCTTTGGCCTATTTGTTGAAATGCGACACAGTATTCGAATTTCAAATTCTCCAAGAATGTCAAACTATGAAGGGTGGTGTTTAACAAGTTTTTCACGTAATTATCTTTTCGATTACAAAGTTAATAAAATTGTAAAGAGTGCATATCGGGGCCGCGTCATTGCGTGGCGATGTTGCGTGTTCACAGCTAACTAGATTAATGGACGTTATGATGAATGACATTGGCTCCATGCTATCCTAGTTTGAGCTAATTATTTTAATTCTAAATATAAGGAAACAAAGCAATGAGACAGATCTGTAAAGCTCAATATAGAGAAGTCAAATATTACCACCTCCTATTGTTTTAAAGAGAAGCCTTCAACATCGCTTAGGCTAAATACTGTCTGTAGTTTACGCGAGCAGACATTAAAAAAAAATACTAACGGTTTAATACGCGAAATATATTAGTTAAATTGATATAGATTAAATCGATAATATTTTTTTTTTTAATTTTGACTCGGGCAGCACTTGAACCGGCATCGTCAGCGTTCAATGCTGTTATTCTAACCAATGGCTAGCAAGTCCCACATCTCATCGTCGGATTTTTTTCAATGCATGCACCGGTTTGACGGTTCAAGTCCTATCCGAGTAGAATTCTTTTTTCAATTTATTTTCATTTTTTATGTTTTATAACCTGATTATTTCGCGTTTGAAACTGTAAAAGTGTTTATTTAAATCGTTCAGGCTGTTTGAAACGGTAAAAAAGTCTTTTTATCAATCTTAATACATTAAAATATAATATTTTCATTTTTCTTTCCAAGTGTTTAAACCGTATAGAATATCTATTGAAATTAGGTTGAGAACGAAAGGACGTAACTCTGTGAAGTCTGGCATCACAGTACTAAGCTGCTAGATTACACGAGCTTTTATGATAAATAAAGCGAGAGCGGTACATTTCGGGTTAGTCGGGGGTTAGGAGCAGTACATTAGCTTTTGTGTTGTCGGAGAGGTGTGAGCGATGGCCGACAAACGGACACGGCAGCCATTCGTCTCCCGATTGTGCGACCGACCGTGTAGCCTCCAGCTCTGATGTATTGCCAAAATGCTCTACAACGGAGTACTATATTATATGACTTTGGACAAATATGAACTACATCCTTGGAGATATAATATTTCGTTTATTCTCTGGCTTCTTAGCTTAGGTTACGAAAATGGAAAAGAACGAATGTAGGTATGTTTTCAACGATGTATTAATGTGAATCCCCTGGTTTTGCCGTGTATCAAATTTATCATATCTACGATTTAAATTAATAAGGGAGGTTACCTTTTAGTTTATCTAAGAACCAGATTATAAAATTTGACAGGTTATTTTCACACGTTTATGCTCACTAGCTTAAGTAAAATTAGATGAAGTAGCTGGTAAAGCAACAATATAGAACGTCCAATTTTCCCAATTTTAAGTTAATTTAATAGTAGTAGATATACGTAGAGTAAAACGTATAGCAATATAATTCGCTCAGACTAATCAACTTTTCGTGTAGCGTGTATGAAATCCGGCGAATTCCAACGGCGTTAGCGCAAAATGCAATTAGTAAAGAGGCCATCCAGTAATGCAGTGTTGATCCCATTGCACAATTACTCTCTGAAACTGCATTAGATTACTGTGGACGTAATCGCATCACGTCAGCACATCTCGCCACAGCGGGTCACGCCCTTTGGGCATCATTTTGCAAATTTGCTTTAAAAAATGTTTTACTTGAAATTGCATGACACAGGTAAGATTCGAACCCAAGAATAATATCATAACGTGGTGCTACACAATAATAGGCTTACATTTGAAGATAATTAAAGATTGAAAAAAATATATACACAGGTGGACTCGACCCGCTGTTGATTAAAAGATTATGACACTTGCGGGATTTGAACTTACCGTGTTGCTCGAATTGAGCTACCGTGTATTGTTTCTTTTTTTTCCGAAGAGGACAAATAAGAATGGGAATTTATTTGATGGAAGGTGAAATATATCCACAAGATGTGCTGACGCTGATCTTGATATTCGGAAATCCAGACTAAAACCAAGACTCGATTAAACTTAATAGTATCTATTCATATCTGATTTCTTTCTAGCTTTTAAAATATGAGAATAAAACAAAATTACTTGGAAAAGTGCATTAAGGCTAAGTTAGAGATATCTCATTGAAATAGTTAAACAGAGTAAATAAAAAGGTATAATTTCTTGGTCTGGTCCGACGCGGCTTCCGTACCTCATACTTGAGAAGACCTACGATAAACAAAGCTGCAAAGGGTTCATACAATTCCGCGCGACGTTTCCGCTACGCCACTTCCGGCCCCTCAGGTCTAGTTTTGCCCCCGGGAGACATCCAAGATGCCTTTTACCCGGGAGTTTTTGTCGCAGGCTCTCAATCGTAATGACAAGTGCTTTGGAGTTACGTATTTTTAAGAGTTGTAACATGTACTTGCGCACAGTAATTAAAGAATTACGTAAGAAAATACATTTTTGCGTTACAATTATCATATACACAAACTTTGCTGGGGAATGACATCACTCGGCTGTTGCTGCAACAAAAGCAGTTGCAGCGCTGATTTTCAGTGATGCCTCATGGATGACACTTAAAGTAACAGCCAAAATATGAAGAAGAACCAAATTTGAGAGTCATAATATGCCTCCACCCTTCGACCCGTAATTAAGAAGTTAGCTCTACTAAGCTGTATTCCCATTATTTCCTCAGAGCGCCTTACAGCATATGGAACTGACGTAATGAGATCATGTTACTCTAGTGTGTAGATTTTCAGTGGGCCTTTTAACATCGTCTGAAGCGTATTAAGTTTCAGAGGGTATGTAAAAGTCGACAAAACATATACTTTTAATAATTCTAATAAATAACAAAAAAAAATATGTTAACAAAGTCAAATTTAAATAAAACACTAATTTATATCGCGTTTTAAACTTTAACGGTTTCAAACGCGATATAATTTAATTTTGTATATAATAAATATCGCGTTTTCAAACGTTAAAATGTTTTATTTAGATGTGTACTACTCGCGTATTCTATAGACAGTATTTAACAAAGTCAATAGTCAACTTTTTGAGTTTACAAGAACGCGTCAATCACTGAACAGTGTCGACAGTTATTAAAATAATCCACTATTTATCAAAAACATTTGCCAACTGGCTTAACATGCCAATATAATACTTTAGTTCAACTACAAAGTTAGTAAACTGTGGACGCAGTCTACACGTTCGGAGATGTTATTGTGAAATGGGATTAACGGCTGCATTACAAGAGGACGTTGGACTAATTGTATTTGCTAGTTATATTTAGACAAATTATTATCTACATACTAAAAGTTGTATGATTTCTATTCTTTTAACATAGTCATACTATAGTATACGTTGGGTCACACTTAGAAAAAAAACGTAAAAATCAATCAAAATGATTTGTTCATAACTGTACTAATTACGATTGAATCCGTTTTCTATTTAGAGGATTGCAAAATAAAGCGAAATAATCCTACCTTAATAAATCTTTTCGCTTTTGTTAATAATCCTAATGTGGTGTGTCTTGATGCTTCAGGGCCTAACGGTACCATGTCCTTTAATTTCTCCAAGCAGCTTCTTAAATGTGCTCTCCTGAAACAAAGAAAAACAGTCATATAATTACACTGTTCAGAATCTGTCTTTAAATTTATATTATAATCGTTATCTGTGCATAATGTAGCTGTTGGCGGGAAATTTTGGTTTTTAATTATTTTATATCTGGGTTGTTAAGCAGCTTAAAGCTAACGGCACTAAGTAAATAACAAAACTATAAAAAATTGCTTGATGGCACTGTAGGTATAAATTAAAAATATATTTAGATTGAATAATATTACGTCACGGGCTCAAGCCGAAACAGTATCTGCAGCATTCCGTGCTGTTGCAATTAGCTGGTTCAAGTCCCGCCCGCGATTTTCATTATAGCTTAATTATAAGTTTAAAATTGCCTTATTTTTACGAAATCGCAGGCAACACATATTTTGAAGTTTCAAACACTAAATGCAAATAAATAAAAGCGTTTAATTAATGTTATTTTTGAAATCCACACAAGTTGTACGGTTACATAAAGTATTGTTATTAGAACATTTCTATTTAATCCCCAGAGAAAAGCCGCCATGCACTACATTCTAGGGAGAACGCTCGTTTGTTGGTACACCGGCAACTAACAAAGCTCATTTTACGCTTACCATGGTTTCTCGAAAGTGAGTGACAGTCAAAAACAGTTTTAGAAAAAACTGACAATTTATTTGTAGTCAAATAAGTTTAACTAATATATATCGCGTTTTAAACCGTTAAAGTGTTTTATTTAAATGTGTACTACTCGTGTAAACTACAGACAGTATTTAATTTATTGTACATTAATAATTAATTTTATTCTCTAACAAATTCTCCACCTTGTGTAAAGATTAATGTGTTTTCTTTTACAAAATATAACATTTGTAAATTGTTATTCATTCATAGAAACTAAATGGAGTGAAAATAGTGAGTTCTTTCTGTCGCAATAAAATCAAATGCATTTCACCACTCGTTTGTCGCCAAAGAAAGCGCCTGAGGCCGCCGGCGCGCCCGCTCGCTTGATCAGGCGTAACTAAGCTTATTTTCAGTACGAGCAATTCTCGAAAGAATGCTCAAAGCTAACAATGCCACAAATAAATGAACCCCGTAATATTAGAATAAGGGACGTATGTACATCTAATTATCCATGCAGGTACTTGCTAAAGACAAAACACTAGAGAACCGGGCTATTTTGCTCGATTTAAGGCAAATAAAAATTAACAGCTAGCTGTATATAAATTAATTCTGCAAATTTATTGTAATTTAAATAAAACACTTACACTTTAAAACGCGATATATATAAGTTCAACTTACTTTTACTACGGCACGACGTTTCGAATGCTTTGCAGCAGCCGTGGTCACGGGGAGACTCAACGTCGGCCGTCGTTAAAATAATTTTCAAATAGGTTTAACTAATATATATCGCGTTTTAAACCGTTAAAGTGTTCTATTTAAACGTGTACTACTCATGTATACTACAGATTAAATTATTACTATTTAATGTGTACTATAATCTCAATTAAAATAATGCTTTATTAAGCAAAATTAACAGAGAACAAACAAGCAAAGGGAGTAGCATCTAATTAAAATGAGCCGTCAAAATATTTTAGTTTTAGACAGTTGAAATTTATTTTTAATAGTTCATTAACCAGGTACCAATGGTAAGGGCAAACCGGTCGCAAATTATAGCAAAGCGTGAGTTTCGTTTGTGCTGAAACGGGAGAAGGTTCCGCGGTAACGTAATATGGTTTTAGCGGTTGCACTCACACAAATGTACTTCGTTTTATACCAAATGTTAATTCAGTATCGAATTTTTGTGATAATTTTGAATCTTGTTCGTATGTTTTAAGCGACTAAGCTACTTATTAACCTACGGTTATTATCTTAAGTGCACTATGACTCACACATTTGAATCTGGAGAAATTTAGATTTCATTTTATAGTGTGGTGTAATTCTTGGTTAACATTGTATTTTCAAGGCCGTTAATTAGTTAATTAGTCCATATAGGCGGGTAACCATTTCACACAATTCGCCTTTTGTAGAGTACGTTAGTTTATACAACTAATGTATCAAAGTATATTTACGTATATACTTCGAAATAAAACCTAAGCAGGTTGTATATAAAAAAAGACATTTATGATCTTATTAAGTAAAACAGTAGTAAATAAACTAAATGCCAGCGCTAAAATTAAGACACCGAAAGGCAGTGACAAAAACTTTGCCGAGAAATATAATTCATTGGTCGACAGTGCATCTTTTAAAGATGTTATATGGTTGGGCTATTCCCTTTCATCCCATGAATTGCTATTATTATGTGATATGCTATTGCTTGAGAAAACCCTAAGGTTTGTTGGTATTGATGTCAAAACGCGAACGAACTAACATTTCCTTTCCCTATTTAAACAGAGACCGAGTGTTCTCCATTCAAACTTTCAAATATGACTATCGTAATTTTTACTTAATGAAAAATATGCAAATTCTCCTCCCAGTAAAATGTAATATGTTAGTATTAACATACATATTTGAGCGATAACTCCTTGCCACAAAGTAATTTGCATGAATATAGTTTGACGAGCGTCTTTCCCCAAGTTGCATGGGTTTGGCTGCTCTGTGAGTTAAGACTTGCATAAGCGTTTAATATTGTTCAAGTGTGAGGGAATTTCAATTTTCAGTATTAAAAACTTTATTTTAAGTCTTGAGATCAAACTTACAGATAAAGCTTTAAATTGTCTTTCTCAACATTGATTTTGCGAGGAGCCGAGTGTTGATCAAAAATTTTATTTAAAATTGTTCAGAATACTCTCTAAGACGTAATCGAGAATACACAGTAAATATTTTGGATCAAAATAATTTGTAACTACCAACAGGGTGCGGTGTAGTGAATTCCTCAATCCTTTAATAACATATGGTCTCATGCGCTTTAACATGTGAAAAGAAACTTGACGCAGACTTTTCATTTGACATTTGACATTAATACAGAACCTAGACCTTGAAAGCGCCGCCGCTTTTAAAGAAATGAATAGGAGTTAAAAACGGAGCATTTAATGAAGCATAAAACGTAACCGGTAGTATAATTACCACGATTGTTCGTATTATCATAGCGAGTGCTCCCAATTTTCGTTTGATGAGTTTTTTACGAGTTCCCAGCAGTCGTATGTAATTTACGGCCTCGTAAAACGTTGCCTGATAACAATGTAACGTTGCAGTGTATTAGGGCTATCTTTGTCCGAAATGTTTCAGTAAATGAGCCCTAAAACTGCTGATTTACCTGACTCGCCTAGATAATGGCCGTTCTTGTACTTTTTAAGGGCCAACTTATCTTTTTCTTCTATTTTATGTTCTCAAAAAGTGGGACTATTTTTGGTACTAGATATTCTCAATACTGGGCCCCTATTTAATTACACGAATTGCTGAATTTAAATGTTTATTTCATGTTAAATTATAGTTAAAACAATGAATTCTATGTAAAAAATACTCAGAAAACGTAAAGTAAAATTTACAAGAAATTTAGAAGGCTTGCATAGTAAACAGAACAATTAATCTTTACAAAGAAGTGAAAGAGAAAAGCATTCGCTATTTTATTTGCAAGACTACGACATTATTAAGATTATTCATAGTGTGTATGTAGTGTTTACTAAAATACATTTGAAATGTATTTATTTATACACTTGACTCAACGTTATCAAATGACAAAGGGCATTTTAATTGCCGGCTTTATGTGAATAAGCATTTTAATTTTCAACATATTAAACATATTAATTGGCGAATAGAATATGTGAAAATTTTCGTGGTTATCAAAACCGAAGCCTAAATTGATATACAATTAGAATAGAAGACAAAAAGATAATTATGAGTACCTTCATAAAAATAAGCATTTAAGTAACAAACAACAAATCATTACAATACATTATATACCCTTAAAGTAGACTGGACATTATGCAATTTGTATGCGCGATCGCGAACACTGCACGCGGGTTGCAGCCGGTCTTTTTTTAATTGGTCAGCGGTTCTGAATCCAGAATATGGTGACGGACGCACGCGATAGTGTTTTACATATAGATTGCGCTCGCCCTTCGTCCGGCGATACCAAACAAATGAGGTTTCACTACCGATTCCTGGGGAAATGTGTCAACTTTTTTTGGCTTCTTCATGATTTGATAATTCAACACATACCATATTGCACGTTAAGTATTTGTCGTTTAGTACATATGTCAAGATGATGAAACGTCGAGAAATAATAACATAAATTTAAAAAATACTAAATGTTTAACTATAGTCATTATAAAATAAGTAGCAATAAATTATCATTTCTGCTTATCGTTTGTCTAATAATGTAATTGCAATGGTTTAGAAGGGTGAACATTTAAATTTAAACAAACAACATCAAAAAAATATTTGTTGTTCTTGAATGTTGATGATAATTAATTGCTTTTATGTTTTGTTTATTTGCCATGTCTATGTCCAAGTTCTGTTGATTTTAATAAGATGCCAGGTTAAATATTGCTTTAATGTTGTTTAATAAGTTTTGAATTGCTTCGGATTAAAATCAAGATTTTATCAAGTCGTATCTATTAAAGCGGAAGAGTTTGAACGCACCAATCACAGAAACGATATTTTCTAGATAGAAATTTTTTAGATTGCGAGTTAAATTTTCTCCAATTTTGTTTTAAGTCGCAAAAACGATGAGAAGCGGACGACGTCGTGGGTGTTAGCTATAATTTATAAAGTTAACAAAACAATAAATAACATGATGCCCAAAATAACGAATTATTCCACGCGGATGAAGGCACAGCTAGTTTATTAGTTAATATGCATGCAAGTGTTACTAAAGGGCACTATCCAATTGAGAGTATATGCTAAATCAATAAGAAATAGAAACAAGATACTAGCAGCATATAGAGCAGAGCAGATCTCGGCAGCTGTTCGGTTCACGGGTCAGGGTGGAATGAGATGAGCCGCGGTTTGCATACAAATCACAGATCGCTGACCGCTGTGACGTACGTGTTTTGCAAGCAATGAGCTACAGAAGGGTACCACATAGATCGCTACGGTTACGGTTCCTTACGTCCAATGTTTAATTTATTGTGTTCCGACACTACCCTTAATTCAATAGCGGTCACACTTGTTCTTAAAAGTATCTAACATATTTATTGTTCGGTATTTATATACACCATTTGTTATTACTGTATTTTTGTATGTACTGTACTATTTCAAATGTCAAGCATGGGGCATCACTGAAAACCTTCCTTTGTTTGTAGGTTGTGCCAGGTACAACAAAAGCTCAGTGGTGTACCACCACGCATGTATTTTATTATTTATTTTGTTGTTTTATTGTCTGTAGAATAAAACATTTAATTTAAAATAACTTGTTCGAAATTATTAGACACTATTATCAATTTATCATATGTGTCTTATGTTTTATATTAATAACATAAAAATAAGCTCAAACCTGCATGAAATACGGGATAAATGCAAGTAGGTGCTACGTTAAACCTCTCTCTATATATTTTAAAGTCGCGTAGAAAACTTTCAGGAAAGTTAGAACGCCGTTTAAACCGATAAAATACCTTTGCACGGAAAAAATCTCTTTCATAAGGAACGAAGAGAAAAGTGTTCGAAAAAGGCGCCGATCAATATTGGCTCGAATCTGTTACAACTTTATCCATTATCGAACTCCGAAGTTCTACATGAAAAGTTAAATTCGCTATAATTGGAGTGATTTAATTTGGAGCATTAAACGAATCGAGCGGGCCCAAAACTTCCCCCCTCGAGTTTGATAAGAGGCTGCCATCTGTGGGCATTAAATTGGCGAGAGATCTGGCTTATTATGATGAGAGAACTATTTATATTGGTTCCAGTGTCGTGATTTCGATTTAGACACTGTGGCTAGTTTTAAAGCAGCCACATGTTTGTTTAGCTATCATGTTTTAGTTATATAAGATAATTAACGATACTTATAATAGATGCGTAAATTCCAAGTAACGATTTAAATTCTCAAGTTAAATAATTATAAAACTTTCTGAGAAAAATAAGACAATACTCATTCAATGATGGGATGTGTAATATATGGTTGTATGTTAGTCGTTGATTTCGTGGCCACACACTCGTGTAAAGTCGAAATGCAAAAGCACTCGGTGCCAAGAGCAAGATACGATGCTGATTAAGGGCCTCTTCAACGGCCTTCATGTTAAACTATCCTCTCAATTTAAAGCAAAATTAATTGGTATACATGGTGGTGTCATATCAATAATATAAATAATGTAGGTACTACCTTTCGCCAAGAGCATCATCTATATATAAAAGTTACTTTGGGCAGCATGTAGGCACTTATCTTTTTGCACACATATTTAACAATATCAATAAAAATTTATCTTTTTAATTAATTAATTGAATTTTTAAACATTGTTTTTTACAGCACTGGTAGGCAGTAGCCGTCGAGAACATGTACTCGCGGCGGATATAATATTCAAACCTTTCAATTACTACAACATAAATAAAAAACATATTACAATATACATTGCCTTTTGAAAAAAGCATGTGCATACAGAAAGGCAGAATTTCATTTTGATTTTTGTTTATTAAATGTACAAACATGTTATTATAATTGATTTATACTATATGTACAGGTACCATGTCAAATTTTGTTCAGTGCAATGTATACATAAACATAATATATACGTATGAAGAACCGTGAAAATATTTCTACTTGCAACCCTTTTATAGGAAATCATCCAATATCCGCCACTGAAATTGAAAGTCATAAGCAATTTTGGAAAATCTCACAACGGATAATGTTTCCCCTAATGAAGTTCGTAATTCTAAATTGAAATAAGATCCGTTTAGTTTAGTAAACTACGTGTTTTATTGTTTTTTGTTTTATCGAAAGGTGAAATATTCCAGCTACAAGACATCTTGGCGTTGTCGACTTATGGCTTGTGAATATTCGGAAATTCACAGACTGAACGAAATACCATTAAACTCGAATTGTTGGTTTTTAGTAAACAGCGTCCAAACGATTTTATTTTCATGCAAATCAAAGTTACATTAAGATAATTTCGGCTACAAAGTACGTAGTAAAAATCTTAGAAAGCAAAACCAAAACTCACCCTACCAAGTCTTTAAGTCATGATACATCACCATTCATTAAAGTTAAAAAACGCAGTACAATTGTATGAGGCAATGAATGCGGTTTTGTGTTTACTGTCGAGTAGTCTGGGAATTCAAGAGAAACTCCTCAGAAACTGAGTCAGACAGACGAGTATTGAAGTCATAGAAAGACCTACGCTTGATAGCGAACTAAGGAGCATTCACACGAGTGGCGGTGTTGCAGCATCGTTTTTAATTACTACAATCAAGCAATTTCTAGACTTGAATGTTTGTATTGTTTAAAACACAATATAAATGCAATAGCGTAAAACTTATATTGAAAGTAACAAATAGTATGTAACAGCTAGCCACGATATTAAAATAATATTATACATTACGTATAATAAGTAAGCAAGTGTAAAGGTTGAAATTACAGTTGCGACAGAGACGTGTAGGACACGATAGCTCATTTGGTTAGAGCAACAGCACGGAACGCTGTGGATGCCGGTTCAAGTCCTGCCCGTATCGTTTTTTTATTATCT